GCAGTTAATGTTTGTGGATGGTTGTGTTGCTACCAAATAATGAAAGAGGGGGTCAGAGGGCAGAAATGCTCAGAAAGATAGAAATGAAGAAGGAATTTCAATTCAGAGCTAATGGATAGAGTTTGGAGGCTTCTATTAGCAGAAATTATCACTGTATTAATGCATTTCAGGCAGTGTTTTTCACAGTTGAATATGGTGTTATTTTCCTCGTGATCCATTCCCTGACAAGTGGTTATAATCAAAGCTGTCTGTGAGCACTGTTAACAGAAACTTACTATTATATGCTGTAGGAAAAAAATATCGGAGAATGATGCAGTGCCAGAAATCTATGATATGTTTTAAAGATCTAGTGCAACACTAAGTATTTATTTATGTACTACTTTTACCTCCTGTGGAAGAAAATAATTTGAACTTAATTTTCTTGTCTTACTCAACTGCTTGAGAAAATATACCTCCCAAAGTAAGTCCATAATTATGATTAACAACACTGGCTAGATCCTCAGTTACTGTAAATTAGCATTCCCCTATTCACTGCAATGAAACAATGCCAATTCATTACAACAGAGAATGCTTCCAGTGGCCTTGGGATGCTGTTTTACATCTTTAAGGGTATTATCAAACCTTCTTTAACTCAGTATTGTACAGAGTTTGCTCTGGCCAGAACAAACTTTAAAAAGGGAAAAATCTAGCATAGTGGTGCTAAAAGTCTTACCAATTATCTTTTAGCAAAATTAATCCTTCAATATATTCTGTTAATTAATTGAATCAGCAAAACTGCTATTGCTTTGTCATCTGGTCTGGCTTTGTAGAACAACTTTATTTTCTCCTTAAATTTCAGGTTAGCCATATACTTAAAAATATTACAGTAATTCTGGTGAAGCTCTTACTTTCCTTGTGAAGGAAGGAACTCCAGTGAGACATCATTGAAAGAAAGTAATTACTTAGAAATGTTTATATCTATACAGTTGACTATGAAACATGAATTAAAAAAAAAATCATAAACCATAGGGATTTTGAGGTTAAGTTTATGAGTTGGCATAATAAATTCTGCACTTTTCAGTTAATAAATCCGCAAGAATGCTAAAGATTAATCAGATTAATTTGAGCAACAGGTAATCAATACATCTTTGAAAACATTCTCTGTTTCAGGCTGGTCTGCCATGCTCTCCATCCAGTTGGTGCTGATGAAAACGATGATCCAAGACTAAGACAAGTAAAGAAAAATTCAGAATTCCTGAGGACATGCTGATAGGCAGTTCACATCTGAAAACAGGTACTATCCTTGCAACTTTCCAAATTTCCCTTTCTCAGCATCCCCTCTTTTTTATCTTACACCTGGGAATTGAAAACACAAAATTCAAATAGGTTTTTGGAACAACCCTAAATCGGGGATACTCTGAAGACAAATGGTAAATGTCTGTTATCCCAGCGGCTAAGTTAATTATTGTAATGGAAACATCTTGAGAGAAGCATTGCATATGGTTATTAGCAATTAACCCACCACTCCAAAAATCACAATTCCTGCTAATAACAGACCACAGCACAGCCTTCCTAATTACAATCTCTGCACAATTTTTTTTTTCTGTCAGAAAGGAATGTTAAATCCTGTAACTAGCTATGACTGAAAAAGACTGAGAATGGAGACTTTGAGTATTAGACAGAAAAATGAAAATAGAAAAGGGTGGTGTGTTACTGACTTAAAGTTGGGGACACATTCATTCATGCTTGAGGATACACACCAACTGTCACAACATCTTTGTAGGAAGACAAAATCATAAATCAAAATTAAAATGTTAATGAGGAGGGAAATATGCTTTAAAATGGAGATGATAGGCTGAATCTCCATGAGAGGTACTAACTTTTCTGCAGAATTCATGATCTGGACAGTGTTGTAAACAATGTGCTGAAGTTGGATTGCACTGGAATCTCTCAGAAAAAAATTCTGGTCAATGAGAGAGGATAATAATAAAAACTATACATTTTCCATCCCATATAAAGTCATTCAGTGCTACATGGAAGACAAAAGCTGTTTTTTTCTAACTGTTTGTATTCTATGCAATTGAGTTAGATTATGTCTCACCTGCACCAACAGGAATCAGCACTTTAGCTGCTGAGTTCAAAAGTTGCTTTAGCATAGCAAGATTCAATTTAATTTACTCATTTCACCATTCCGGAAGGGAACTCTTTTGTTAACATGTTCAGCAACTGGTTTGGTGGTGGCCACTATGTGGTTTGTAGTTATCAATATCAAAGATGCACAGTTGCATAGCAAATAAGATTCAGGACAGTAGATATGTGTGTAGTTGATCAAGGCAGGGATGTGGAATATAAAGAAGTCACTGATGCTGTATCCACTACCCTTTTTTTTTTTTCTGACCTAGCCCACTGTTGCCACTGTAAGAATCAGAATAAATTAGTTTGCTTTTATCTCTGTATTATCCATATCAGGTCTGAAGAGTTAACTGACTTAGGCACAGTCAGATCAATTATCCCAGCAGGCTTTTGAAACTGCTTCACCAACGCTGTAACTCCTACTCATGTGAACTGTCCCATTTGAGTCAACAGCTTTTCAGGATATTCTCAGTTAAAATACAGCTGAGGATAAAACATTAGATAGTATTTGTAAGAAGGGCACATTGCCCTGGGTTTACATTTCAGTTCAGGCGAATGTCAGTGTCACAGTTGCTGAAGTGGGGCCTGCAAAGCTTTCTGCACAGATTGCAGGGAAATTGTACACTGCTCTGTCCTCAGAATTCAGCTGCAGCTGTATTTTGCTGTGTGGCCCTTAGGCAAAGGTTTCATCTATTAAGTGGCCTTCACCGACTAAGATACTCTGCACTTTGGTACCTTCCAGTTTGCATGTTGCTATTCCGTTATTCAATAAATGGATGTAATAAATGTTGTGTATAATTTGAATGATCACATGCAGGTTTGAAAAGTAATGTTGAACAGTTGATTTTTGAGCTCCTTAAGGTGGAAAAAAATTAGAATATTTTGTAAAGACTGATTTACTTCCCCTAGAAGAAACCAGCCAAGCAATAAGATCCTTTACTATTTTGCTATGATGTGATCCTGAAAATAATCCAAGTTGGACATCACAGGACATAATGAACACTCTGTCTTGACATAATGAAGGTCTATTACTTTACAAAAAAAGATTTTCTGGGGTTGAAGAAATGAAATGATTAGAAAACTATGTGCTCTGTGGGAGGTAATGAGATTAGCTCAACACAAGGTCCTGCAGAGTTAGAACTTCTCCAGACACAAGAATGGCTTAGCCATTCAATGGAAATTTCAGGGTACTATTAATCTGCTCTGAGGTCAGATGAAGGCTATATGTTTTCTTCACCATGAAAAAGAAATCAGTCAATAAAATCTCAAGGGCTCATGCCAATGCAAGCTTCAAAGCAATGAACAATATAAAACAAGCTTTCTTGTTATGATTGGTAAATGTTCACCCAATTTAGCAAAGGCCTTAGAAAATAAAAACCATACAGGAAACTGTGCTTGTGAAGCACGTGTAAAGAAGAAGCCAGTGTATCTTATTACAGGACTGAAAGGAAGACAAATTAATGCACTGTAAAACTGAGGCTGACTCCTAACCCAGGAGGGTGTCAGTGTACCCAACAGTTCTCTCCGTCACAGATTTGTACAGGAGCTAATTTGCAGCAACTCAAGACCATGCCCATTCCACTGGAGTAGAAGGAAATCGCAGTTGTCTTTAGCACCGGTTGGCTCAGGACCCATCTGCTTGGTCACAGCCCAACAGCTGGCTTGTCATGGCTCTCTAGAGAGAGGAGAATTGTGGTGTAATGGACCCTGAGTTCTACATTAGACCATAAAATGCTTAAGGTGTGTTTTTCTCATTTTTTATTTGCTACTATGCACAGTTTTCTTTCCAGGTCAGTTGGTCTTCCTTCTCTTGCCAGAAAAGGGAAAAGACTCACTGTTTGACAGCAGTAAAGGTCTAGAGAGATCATAAAGATGACAAGATGGATAGTTTAGAGGATAGCACGCAAGGCAGGGATTTAAGGAACTACTCCTTGGTTCCCAGCTTTACATCCTTGCTGTCACTAACTCTCAGCAGTGGTGGTGTGAGCCTTCCCTCATGACGTTAAATGCATTTATTTCATGGTGACCTCTTTGAAGTGCTCAGATGTGATTGCAATGGATGTCACACACAGAACAAAGAAGGACCAGAGAAAAAAAGAGAAGCTAAGGTGTGTCTCACAGTGAAGCAGAAATGGCTTGGCATCCTTGTACAGAGGGAGAGAGTGCAGGGGCTGGTCAGCTCTTCTGAGAGCTGGTAACCAGCATGAACATGAGGTTGCACACAACTTCGTCTGCTACTGAATGAAACCAAATTCCTCCTTATCTCCACCTGTCCATGCTGTACCCAACAGGAATTTGGACCAGGAGGAAAGTCCCTTTCAAACGGGAACTAAAAAGACATTGCAGAGAAGGAGAGGTGAGGCTGGAAGGACACGGACAGAGCTGGGCAGGAGAAGACCCAGTGGCAACCATGAATAAAGAAAAAGGAAGGAGGAGAGATTTAGATTAGATAGTAGGAAAAAGTTCTTTACTATGAGGGTGGTGAGGCATTGACACAGGTTGCCCAGAGAAGCTGTGGCTGCTCCATCCCTGGCGGTGTTCAAGACCAGGCTGGATGGGACTTTGAGCAACCTGGTGTAGTGGTAGGTGCCCCTGCCCATGGCAGGCGGGTTGGAACTGCATGATCTTTAAGGTCCCTTCCGACCCGAACCATTCTAAAATTCCATAATCCTATGACTCGCCCTGGGCGGGTCCCGCAGGAGACGGAAATAGGCGGCAGAGGAGGAGACGGAGGAAGAGGTCTCGCTGAAGGAGGGGGAGGGCATCAGGGTCCCCCCGCCCCGGGGAGCGGCCGGGGCGGTCCGGTACCGCCCCGCCAGTGGCGCGCCTCACCGCCGCTTTAAATGATTTGGAGCACCGACGGGTGTTGGGTTGCTGCTGCGGCGGCGGTGGGAGGCATTTCAGGTGCTGCTGCCGCTGGGCCGCGGCCACCCTCGTCTCCCCTGCTTTGGCGGCGCGATGGGAGTGGGGCCGGCGGGCCTGTACCTTGGCCTGTGCTGGGCGCTGGCTGCCCGGGCGAGCGGCGCGACGGAGCCGCGGCTGCAGCGGGGCATGTGAGTGCGGCGCGGCGGGACCGGGGCTTTGTCTGTGGCCGGGTGGGGATCTGTCCCCCTCCGGCCTCCCGCGGGGCTGCCCCGCGGAACGCACCTCCGCGGTCATCCACACAGAAAGTTTAGCCGGGTGCGCCTTTAACTTGCCCAAAGCGCCCTCAGCATCGCAGGTTTGTGATCCGCGGGGTTGTCTTTGAGTGGGTACTGATGAGACCCGCAGCCCCCGGGGGAAGGCGGAGGGGCTGGCTCGAGTTTGATTCGAGATCTGAAGTGAGCTTCAGGGAGCGCGTCGGCATCACCGAGTCAGTTTCGTCTCGCTTAAAAAGCGAACGAGTGGCGGAGCTGAGGCTTGTACGGCTGCACAGGTTCGTGCTTCCTGAAGGGTTACGTTGAGCTTGACCTGAATAGCAATAGGAAAATCAGTGTAGTAAAACCTAGATGTAGTCAGGAGGAGCACTAGACCACGAGGAGATAGAGATGGGAGCGGTGGAAAGCACCCACCAGGGGATGTGAGCACGGCTCGTTTGCAGACACAAAGGAGTTGGGACCACGTATACGTGTGGAAGTTTCTATGAGGTATATTGCATGGCATGAGCAACAAATGTGGATGCAGTATAACCTTTTTGACAACGGGTAGTATTCTGGGCAAACCTAAAGCAGAATAGGTGGTAGCATGCTCAAAGTCAAACAGTTGAAGTTTTTGCTCACTAAAATAGAAAATAGAGTTGCTGGAGACTGTGCCCTGCTTTGTGTTGAGCATCTTGTCCTCTGCAAAACTCCTCTTGTATTTTTAAGGAAGGTCATGTCCCCAAAACTGCAGCAGCCTGACAACAGCCTGTTCAGATGTCAGTGCATACCCTAATTTCTAACCTCTTTTCCTATTTGACTTGATCAACTTCTACCCTTTTATAATTAATTTTTCTTTTGTTTGGTTTGATTCTACTTGTTTCTTCTGTTACAAAACTAAAAATTTCTAAGCCTATTTCTCATTGGTTTTCTATGCATTATCATGTAAATATGTATTTACCAGAAGTGCTTTTAAGGTGGTTTATGTTACCCCATTTTGCTAGAGCACTAAGTGTGTATCACAGTGTTTCGAGAAGTCAAGTTGATTTTCTGGTAAAGCATTTTTCTATTAAAAGTGCTCTGTGTTTCTTTCAGGCATGCTTCTTGCTCTCTTTGTAAGCAATTACTCTGCTGTGAGGAAGAATACTGTTGGCATACATTAATCTGTTTGCATTAGACATTGGTAATGACTAGGTTTCTGCACTTTTGAAGCTGAGGGTGATGTTAACAGCAAATTGCCTCCAAACAATTTGTGTTTGCTTTTACCTTTTTAAATACAGTGTCACTGAAAGAATACATTAAATATTTCCTTCCGGAAATGACACCGTATAAGGATATTGCTGTTGGGCTCAAGTAATTAGGAGCAGCAGTGCAGTGTTATCCAACAGCAACATAAAAGCCCACCAAACCCCATCCATACCGGTGGCAGAGCCTTGAGTGCTTTTCCCAAGCAGCATATTCTTGCAATTACTGTAATTCTTATTACTTTTCCTGAGCTAGGGCAAGTATATGTATTACTCCAAACTTGCTTTACACTACTTACCTTTGATGTAAACAAATGCAAGACATGATAACCCCTTAGGAGTGAGCCTGTCAGCTTTCACCAATAAACAGTGAAATGCTCAAAAGGTTACTTAATGAATCACTTTTTTCTAATAATTCTGTTTTGGTTTTTTTTTGATGGTGGTCATCTGCAGTCCATGGGATAAGAACAACAAATGTACTCCTTGGAACGTACTATGTTGAGTGCTTTCTTTAGAATTTGCTGTTGTTTCGATTTGAGATCTTTTGTGGCTGAGGATATACAGGATATTCTTCATAATTGTTTTTGTTCCGCTGCTAGCTCGAGTATTTGCTCCCAGCTAAAAATGAAAGGGATCTGCGTGGATGTTGGTATTCTTCTTCCAAGCCCCCTGAGGAGATTTAATGTAGAACAGATTATATAGGATGACTAGCTATTTCCATCAACTACATTTCCAGACAATTAGCCCTTGATGATCTTCTAATAGAAGTTTAGAGAACACTGGAACAACCAGAGAACAAATACACAGTTTTCATCAAAAAGCATGCTATTTAGGCCTTGAAACAAGGATTTAACCATCTCTCATCATAAAAAGCACATTTTAAGCAGCTCACTTGGCAGTGAGCTTTGTAGTTTAAAATTCCAGTACGTAGTGATGTTATAAGTATGATGTGTGGTTATCTAGTGTTGAGTTTGCTTTCAGGATTGTGCATCCCAGAAGGGTAGATAGTTGTGGGGCAGTGCAGAAATCAGAGCTAATTGAAGAGGGCTTGAACTGCTGTCAGAAGTGGTAAATCCTCTCCTAGAGAAATACTCCACTGCAAGTTTTAGAAGTGCAGATGCTGGCTCACAGTTGCAATACAGGACAGAGCAAAAGTCAGGAATGGTTATGAGGTATGTGCTGGGAACCCCCTTTGTGCGATAAATATTACCTTTCATAGTTAAGACTTGGACGTGGCTCAAGAATGGATTTTTCTGTTCCCAAGTGGTATGAATGAGAACTTCTTTGAGAAAGTCATGAGAGAAACTTCATCCCTGTCTACAGGGTTTTGCAGGTCCAGGATGACAGTTAAAATGTGTGATTTGGTTTTGAAGGATCCAGTAGAAATCTGGGAATAAACAAATTTTGCTTAGGTTTCTTTGACTGCTCAAGTGTTGCAGCTGCATATTTTCACTCTATCCATAAGCAAGTAAATTTGGTCACATTCCAAGGAACACCTGGATTTAGAGCTGGATTCCTGCCTGAGTAACTGTTTTCCACCTTCTTCAGTCCTGCGGGGCACTGCAGGCTTGTTTGTGCTCCTCCAGATAAATCCTACTCCCGAAAGGGCAATGCAGGGATGGTGTCTACATTTGCAACACTCAAACTTGGTCTTTTAATTGTACCAGTTATTGGTCTACAAAGATACAGGACTATTTTAGCACCATGTCTCACTGCAAACAGATGTGGCTGTGGACACTATTTCAGTGTATTTCAAAATAAACTATTGTACAAAGCATGTTCATAGAAAGAGGTGCTTCTTAATTTTGATTGCTATAGTGGAACAAATTGCGTGTGACTTTGAGTATGCTGGAATGCAGTGCAAAAAGCAACACAAAAATTGCTTCTATATAGTATTTGGCTATAAGCTAAAGCTGTATCACCTGGAGTTTTGTCATAATGCTGTCCAAATGATGTGAAAAGCTGGTTGTGTAATAATAATTTCTCGGTGAGAAATTGTGTTAGTATATCGGCTGTTTAGCCAATACACTGTGTTTTCCTCTCCAGTGATACCAATTTGCAGGTGTGAGGAAAGATTGTATTCCTAGGTGGTAAATGAGGGCTCAAAGCATGTTTGGTTCTTGGAGCTGAGTAACGTAGTAGAATTTCCTTCAATTTCATTGAATAAGATATCCTGTGTTCAGAGACTTGATAGTTAAAAGAAGACTGCAGGTTTTCTGGTGAAGAGAAGGACCTGGCTTTCCACTAATGTATATAAATTTTTCTACTTTTTTTTTTTTAACATTGGTTGAAGTGGTGCTGGCAATCCAGAGTTGCTGCCAAATTCTGATTTAGACTACTGAATTTTGCCTAACAGGTGTTTTTTCAGCTGAAACCTGAAATACTACTTCTCGGTCCTGTCTGCCTAGAATCTGTAAGGTTGCAGTAAATCCTCAGTACTTTTGGATAGTAGCTACCTCCAGCCTTTGAGGTTTGGATAATGTGGTTCTAGGATTCTAGTAATCATGGCATAAATGCTTTGACATAAAAGATATGACAGTCCCATCTCCTCTACCATTCCTTCCCCTCCTCCCCCGCCCCCCGTTCTCCTGCTAATCTTTTAATATTCAGTAGTTCTTTCTAGGAAAGAAAAATAAATGTTGAAGACTGAGATGCTTCTCCCTGAACGTGAATATCATGATGAATGTCTTTCTAGCCTCTGCACTACAGTATCTGACCACCAGATAGAGCTCGTGCTGGTCAGCATTAAAACACAGAATCACGTTTTTCCAGAGTTTGGACTTAAAGCCTCTGTTTCAGAGTTTCTAAAGGAAAACTAATTGTTTATTTAGCCTTTTAACAGATGGAAAAGGGCTATATATAGTTCTTTTCCTGATTTCTGACATTTTTCTCCTGCTTTTGGGGGGAAAAATGAGATCAAGACTTCCCCCTAAACTCTGAAATAGCTGTAAGACTGAAAATACACAATAATAAAGTGTGACAGCCTGAAGTAGCTGTATTTATCAAAGATGAGCTTGATCTCGTGATGAACTGTAAAATACCAGTTTTATAAATGTCTATATAAAATATTTATAAATGATTTTCATATTGGGTATCACATAATGTCCCTACAAGAAGTGTAGACATTTGCTGCCCATAATCACAATAGCTTATATATACTGTATGATTCTTAAATCTGCAAGTTTAAGGTAGGTAAGCCCCAGTTCTCATTCACTTTTAATGGGATTTGACTTCCTAAGGTACTCCTCAAAATGCACCCTAAGAGGGGAGAACTTGTCAGTGTTTCTTTAGGTTTAATTGTGCTGCTTTATGAAATACTGATATAGTTTGGTTATTTATGCATGCATTTATTATGTGCATTTAGTGCGTGTTTGCAGTATTTCTGATTACTAGGAAAATTGCCTGCTTCTCGTTTTCAGCTTTTTTCTTCATTGTTCATATCCTGTGCTGCTTACTTATCATAGTTCTAGCTATGCCATGATCTAGATATGGCAGAGAACATGGAATATTTTTAGTAAATTTAAAGAAAACTGGTTGAGAAGGGGTAAGATTATTTGGTAATGTAAATCCCAGTCTTTGGATGACTTGTCAGCAGCACCTTCTTTGATGGAAGCAATGCTTTGGCTCTCAGAGTTAACAGACCATATTGCAGACTTGTGTTGTTCACCAATTAAATACCTTCTCTCTTTGAAC